TTCGTTGAAATTAACTATTAAGCTAAATATATAGGGAATCTTTGATGTCGAATCGAACGTTATTCACGCTGACGTTCACTCTATAGGCACGAATGACTGTTAGGATTTTCGTAGAATGTGGTCGACGTATGATGACATCAGATGATGTCTCTCTTAGAGCGTGACACAACTATCATTTTACTCTGAAATGTCAAATTATGATAGACATTTTCTTGGATTTAGTATGTATAATGGTATACAATATATGTATATAGAAATAGAATGTCGCTTCTTTTTATATTCCTAAGTTCATCAATATATATTATAACGGAATATTTCTCTATATTTCTAACATTTACATAACTACTACACAGATGCGTGAAAATTTTACTTCATTGTGTGTAGCCACACAAAGTATTTCTCTCTTTCTTTCTCTCTCTCTTTCTCTCTCTCTCTCTTTCTCTCTCTCTCTTTCTTTCTTTCTTTTTTTCTTTCTTTTTATTTCTTTCTTTCTTTCTTTCTTTCTTTCTTTCTTTCTTTCTTTCTTTTTTTCTTTTTTCTTTCTTTCTTTCTTTCTTTCTTTTTTTTCTTTCTTTATTATCATACATGCACGCGCGCGTGATAAAGATGACAATGACATATATAAGAGATATTTTAAACTTAATATTTCTGTATCTACAGATCTAAAATCTTAGAAGAAAAAGTAAATCTTAGAGAAAATCTTAGAAGAAAAAATAAAGAAAATTTTTTATAAAAGTGGAAAAAGATGGAAAAATAAAGTATTTAAAGTTTTAACACTAAATTACTTTCAATGAAGTAAATGATATAATAGAAATAAAAAGTTTTAAGAAATATAATAAATTTTTATAACATTTATTATACAAATCTACTTTAAAAAATTATAGTTTAAATTATTTACTTCAAAAGAAAGAATTTTGTATTCATTGTTAAATGGGTATTGCTTCTATGGATATTATATCTTTTATAATAACATTTGTCAAAATCTTAAAAAATTTTTATTTATATTTTATTATCTTTATTTCTTAATATTACAGTTGTTCTTATTGGTGATTCTGGAGTAGGAAAAAGTAACCTACTATCTCGTTTCACACGCAATGAGTTTAATTTGGAATCAAAGTCTACTATAGGTGTTGAATTTGCAACACGCAGTATACAAGTAGATGGTAAAACTATTAAAGCTCAAATTTGGGATACAGCTGGACAAGAACGTTATCGAGCCATTACCTCTGCGTAAGTTTCTTAGAATTAGAATTTTAGATATCTAATTATATATTATTTATATTATAATTTATTCTCATTAATCATTAGATACTATCGGGGTGCAGTTGGAGCATTGTTGGTATATGATATTGCAAAACATTTGACATATGAAAATGTTGAAAGATGGTTACGAGAATTACGGGACCATGCAGATCAAAATATTGTGATCATGTTAGTGGGAAACAAATCAGACTTAAGGCATTTACGTGCAGTTCCAACTGATGAGGCTAAAGCATTTGCAGAAAAAAATGGTCTTTCATTTATTGAAACCTCTGCTTTAGATTCTACCAATGTTGAAACAGCGTTCCAAAATATATTAACAGGTAAATCAATTTTGATATGATTTTATGCTAAACTTCTATTTATTTAGATATTTGTGTGTGTGTGTGCGCGCGCGTGGGTGTGTGTATTATAGAATAAATAATTTTAAGTAACTCTAATCTTTATGACAGAAAACATAGATATTATCTGTATGTTTATTATACATGTGTAAAATAATTGTTATAATCTTTGCGCATATAAGAATATAATCTCTGTTATGTTACACTACAAAAATAAATAGGTTTGTTGCATGAAAATAATGTGAGATATTTATATAGTAATAATTCATATTTAAATCTTGCAGAAATATACAGAATCGTATCACAAAAACAGATACGAGATCCACCAGAGGGAGATACAATTCGACCCCAAAATGTAGAACCTATTGATGTCAAGCCGACAATGAATTCTGATGGAATGCGTAAACAGTGCTGTCAGTGACTTACCTTGCTGCTTAAAATGTGTGTATAGGCGAATGCAATACAAATATTCCAGAAGTATGATTGCTTAATTTTTAGTTATTGGAAAGAAAATTAGTGTACGGTCTTTATACAGTAACATAGTTTCAATATAATGAAAATATTGATTAGTTTATTATAAATTTTATGTTCATTTGTACATCAAGTTTATCTCAACATATATCAAAATTAAACACTGCTGAATGTCTTTGTCGTGTTTTTGTAATGCACTATAAATGGAGGGTTGAAAATGAATAATATATTAAAATGTACACTTGTAATAATGGTAGATTTTATTATACTACATCTAACATCATCTCCCAAAAAAGAATAATTCTGATATGATATTGTATTACATTAGAGATTTGACATATCAAATACACAATTAATATTCATCAAGATATATATGGATTGTATTCACACAGTTCTTTTATAATTATTTAATAATTATTATAATGTAATAGAGCTGAACATTTTTAAGACTTACTTTTGTAACCAATTTAGTCTATAAAATTTTATTTTATCGTTATTTACATTTTGCAAATGTAGACTTTCAATCAATGTTACAATGTAATTAAATCAAATACTATTACAGAAGACAATTATAATAAAATATTGTTTTTTATTGTACTATGAACATGATTTTTATCAGAATTCATTATTAGTTGAAAATATTCTTTTTAAAGCAAAAATTCAATAAAAATCAATTGATTTTAATTAAACAATATCTTTTTGATTATAGATTAAATAACAAGTCAAAATACAATTCATTCTTTCTAAATCTTTAATATCATATATTAATGCTTCATATTTTATATTTTTCCCATGTTTTTAATGTTACAGAAGCAGTCTCCAGGAGGAAGAATGGAATAAGATACTGATGATAGATATGGCAAGTGCATAATAATTTGAAATCTAAGACTATATGCACAAGTCCATAATGTCATATGTTTGAAGAATTTGTAACCCCAACAACATCAGGGTATACTATTCACTGATGCTCTTATGAGTATATATTATGCATTCACAGAAATAGTTAACAAAAAAAAAGGAAAAAAACAAGCATCATGGTTATGTATGATGCAGTAAAAGTGAATACATATGCATTATTCTGTCCTTTAAATTTATTTTTACCCTATTTTTTTTTTTCATGTTTTTGATCATATACGAGGTCTGTTCATGTAATGAAGAGAAACATTAATATTGTATATATAATTGTCGTGTATAATTAAATATAATATTATTTGATTCTTATTATATATAAATAAAATCTCTATTATATGACAAATATAAGTTGCAGAGAAAGAATTTATTTATAAAATAATATAAGAAGCACACGTCCCTCAAGCTAAAAGTTATAAAGCGCTATATAACTATAATAAAATGATTTAATGATTATAAGTTATTAAAAAATATAAAAAAGTAGTAAAAATAGTAATGCTATTTTTTATTTACTATTTTTTCTTTAAAAAATAATTTCACGAAATTTATAATAAGACGAACTTAAGAAATTATCCATCTCTCATTGAAATTTAAATGAATAGTCCTCGTATATTAAACTTAACAAAAAAAATGCTTTGTTCTTATTCAATTTAAAGATATTTCAGTCCATTTAGCATATAGCTATTATTGTGAGTATGTAAATAATTTATAATCATTTGCTTGCAATGAAATAATGCAGTCAAACATAAAATCAACTGCGAAGAATAGTGCATAATAGTAGACGAAAGCTTATAATAAAAAAAAAAAAATAACTATATAAAGAAGTCTGAAACATGAAATACAAAAATTAAATTCTATAAAATATTTTTCTGCTTTTATGATTTTTTTAAAGTTTGGTTTTGTCATCATTTTATTCATAAGAAATTCTTTAAATTTGCAAATATGTGACATATACTTAATATATATGAAATATTGCACACTATACATATTCTTTCAGCATTGTTATTTTTATGAATACTGCAGCAATTTAGAAGCTATTTTCAAAAACCAGCTATTATATTCTTGAATAAATTGAAAGTGTGTAAAATATTACAAGTTAAGATATATAAGCTATAATATGAAAGATTAACAAAATTTTAATTATTATTCCATAGGATATAAAATTTGTGCAACATGCTAATGGAATATAAAATATTAAATGTCAGATGTGTGTGTGTGTGTTATATATAATTTTCTATTACTTAATTTTTATTATAATATTATTTGTATGACTTTTTATAAGCAAACAAAACATACATTTCCTAGCTGCCCTAATGGATAATAATCATAAGTAAGTATACCGATTTAATATAGTAATGCTTATCTTTGTATGATTAATTTACAGTTGTTAATAACCACATATATTCAAGATAGCAATGTCTCAAATTACTATTATATTCGTATGTGTATTAAATGATATATTCTGTAGTTTTAGGCTCGTTATTGTAAACTCATAAAAAATCATCTTAAATTTATTTTATATTAAATAGCAATGAATTTATAATGCACAGAATTAAATATTATTTTGCTATTATATGTTCAGTCGCGCGTTTTTTTTTTTTTTATATATAAAAAAATTGTTGCAATTGTAACACATCTTCTACTTTGTATTTAAATAATCAATCTCCAAATAACTTTACTTCTATACAACGCTTTAATTAATAAATATTAAAAATTATATAAGTAATTATATAATTTAAATCTACTTTTTTAATGTGAACTTTATCTTAAATACCTGTAATAATTAAATAATTATTATACCTGTAATAATTAAGTATGAATCTCTCTTATAAATATAATAGAGACTAGCATTCAAGATAATTTTATTTTTTATTAAAATATATGCTAAGCTTTAGTAAAAATGTTATAAGAATGTCATAATCAAGGTTAATAATAAATACACGTTAAATACAATTTTATATTTATATTTCTAAACATTAGTATATTAAGTAAATGGAGAACATAATTATGAAATAAAGATTTTAACTTAAGACGTATATGTACAGTATAGTATCATATCTAATACTACATATGTCATTTGGTACTATTACGTTTATTCTGTAATAAATATATATCATGCTCAAATTCAAGTACTTTGCTAGCATTGTATTTTTGGAAAAATCGTTTTCCATGTTCAAAAGTTGCTATCATTATAGCACAAGCTGGTGCAACTTTTACTAAACGTGGAATTAAACCAGTAAACAAACCTTTTATACCATTTTGATTATAAATTCTTCGTATTATAGTCCATGTATTACTACTACGATCAGGTTTATCTGTAATCATATTAAACAAATGAATTGGTGTACGTGAATGTTATGCATTTAAAAGAAATATTATCTTTTTTTTAATACACAGCATATACCTGAATATATTTCCTTTTCACCCATTTCTATTTGCCTATGTGTTTTTACTACATCAAATGGTATAGTCAATAATGCAGCTATCTTTATATATAAAAAATAAAAAGAAAGAATGAATTCACACAATTATATTATTAATTATTTATAAGAAATAATAATAATTGTAAACTTACAGATCCTGCTGTTGCTCCTGCTGCAAGATTGAAAGTAAAAGTTTGTTGTGACTCACAGAATGTTTGTTTTATAGTTTCATAATGAAACCAATAAATGGCACTAAAAGGTACGTCTCGAAGAAGTGTCGATCCTAATCCCATCCATAGGCCAGAGAAACCACTGTATTTAATAAGTATCTTTAATGCTTCTCTTATTTCTGCAGGAGTAAAAATAAAAAATTATTTTATTAATAATATTTTGTTATATACATATATCTTACTCTTTCATTACCTGCATGGCTTAATTTTTGAGATTGCATTTTAGTTCTAATTAATTCTAATGGACTAACTAAAACTGCTGCCCAAATACGTGCTGTACCTCCAGCTAACATAGGAATCCAAAATGGTTGTTCTACATTTTTTGTATTTTTTCTCCAATTTCTATTATATTTATCCTATAAATGCCAAGCTTGCAAAAATATCAATTATTATATAAATATATCTTCTTTTTTTTATTTTTAACTTACTTTTAAGTATATCCTTAACTGTTCATATGAAACAAAATATATTATGGTTGCAGGTACTGCTAATACAAGAGTTGGACTCAAGCCACTCCATAACGAACCAATTCCTTCCCTCTTACTTATTTTTATAAAAGCGTCCTATAAGTAAAACGTTAATATTTATATGAAGGAACTTGATCGATTATTGTGTCAATTAAAATTTATTGTAATTCAATCTATTATTTATACCATAGTGCCAGTAAATTTTTCATTTGGTCCTTTTCCATTGAGACATGGACATAAATGGTCCATTAATCCATTGCAATATAAGAAGCATTTGTTAGAAATCATAGCTTTCTGTTGGGCTTGTAGACGTGTTTTAACTACATCCAAAGGTGTAACTAAAAAAACAAATGTATTTTACTATGCTTAATTCTTACTTATAAAAATAAATGCAATATAGAATTATTATCAAATTATATAAAAAATATTGTTTTCAAAAATAATTATCAATTATATTCACTTACCAAATATTGAAGTTATAAGTGCACCTGTGCAAGAAGCTATAATTTGTTGGTATGGTCTAATACGAAATCTTGGATCATCCAAATTAATTGGAGTTGATATATTTGCCACTTTATTCATTTTAAGATTGTTTTAAAATGACATTAATATGTCTTATCTTATGTTAACCTTCAGTTTACTTTCATAATACCCTTATCATAAATTCTGATCAAATAATGTTCATGAAATACATTAATATCATCATTTATTAGAAGTAAGAAATATTAGTGTATCGTCTTTATAGATGAATAGTAATTCTAATTTCTGAAATAAATTTAATCGAGTACCTTTAAAAAATATTTTATTTTTATAGATCAATTTTATATCTAACTGAACTCATAGACTTTTTGCCATTTTTAACTTGAGATAAGAAATTTTTTCATGAAGAAAAAAGAACAGAAAAGAAAATTAATTTACTTTCAAAAATTCTTTTCTACTTTCCTTTAATCAAATGTAAGAAATAGTAGGGAAAAATACCTCCTTTTAGGAAACATCCGGTTTACCGCGTTTTCGATTGATGCATAAATGATATCTATCATGAACTATCTGTTTCATGAGATTACCAAAAATACACTCATATATATCTAAGTTTGTCCATTTCTTATTTTTTAAACGAGTAATCCAAATATTTTTTAACAAATCGATTTAATCTTTTCAGCGATATATTTAATGAGAAAACGAATTTTATTTCGATTTTCTCGATAAAACATATACATCCAATATCTTTAATTGAAATAAATTGGATATATTTAATGACACTATAGCAATATGGCATGAATGGCACGTAGACATTTCATAACCTTTATGACTACATTACTAATGTTTTTCAGTAAAATGATGTGAAAGTTTTTCATAGTTTGACATAATAGATTTGACCTTTTGCAGCAGTATAATAAATAATACAATGAATTTAAGTAAAACGGAGAAACTAATAGCAGCTAGAAAAAAGGTAATAAATAAAGATAATAAAAAATAATATAAATAAAATATTGTAACGTTTTGTTAAAGCATTTATATTTCATTGGTTTTATTTAATATATTATAAAAGAATTGAAGAATTTCAATATTAGATATTTTATTATTAACTTTTTTTCTATATCGAAACATTAAAGCTATGACGTGTCATATGCCACAAATGTTGCAAAATATCTACTTTTACGAAGATCGTTCAAGTAAAGAACATAAATGGTTTCTTTAATATATTTCATTTTGTATAAATGTTTCACTTTTACAAATATTATATTCTATTTATTTTTTAATAATTTTCCTTTTTTCTAGTTAAAAGAATTTCAACAGAATAAAAAAATACATATACAAGATGAACCATTGAAAAATGAAAATGGGATAATTAAATTATCACAGCAGGTATTGTGCAAATTTTATATTAATATATATGTATATATAATAATAATCATTAATAATATTTTTATATTCTTTTGTAATTACTTTATTAGAATGAAACTGTGGAAACAAGCTCCCATAAAAATCAGTTGAGAAATGATCATAATGTTCCTATAAGCGATACTTTACAAAATTTTACGTTTCCATTAGATAATAAAGATTCTCATGTAAATATAGAATCAACAAATTTTGTATCCACAAATGAGAATAAAATAAGTGTAAAGCAAATGGATGCAGAAGGTAGTCCTAAACAAGTTGCCAGCATTGAAATGACAAATGTTGCAATATTGTCAGAAAAAGATAACAGTCATGTAGAAAAGGAAAGAGTATCGGAATCTAATGAAAATAACATTAATTACTTTTGTACAGATAAAGATAAAAGTGAAAGTAATTGTACTTTAGGTAATATATCATTAAATCAACAATTATCTATACAAACGAAACAATTATTACAAGCTGAGAATACAAAAATTAATGAGTCTGATGAAAATACTGACAATAATAAACGGAAAATGCTTGATTCTCAAAATCAAACTGTAACTTGTTTACAGGATCAAAATCAAGTAGTAAATCAATTACAAATTCAAGTTAGACAATATGTAAGTATTCCTTTCTTTCTATAAACCATTATATCTTTTTATGTTCTGTGCTACACGGCGTATATAAATGCACTCATTTATAAATGGGACAGAGTAATAAAATTTCTGAACTACAAGCTGCTCTTACTGCAAAAAATACAGAAGTTGAGATAAAGCTGATGCAAGAGATTAAACAACTAAAAGAAAAATTGCAAATTCATGTGCAAACAACTAATATTTTAATTTCGGAAAAAGCAGAACTTACTACAGCCTTAAATCAAAATCAAGCAACTATTAAACATCAAAAAGGTTAGCATTGTATCATCTAGTCATATTTTTATATTTAAGATAATTTGTCTAATAAATATATTATTTCATTATTTTATCATATGTATATATATATATATATATATATATATATATATATATATATATATCTATTTACAGAAGAGATAGAAGAATTATCTGGGAAATTGAAACATGTTCAATTTCATTCATCTGAATTTGAAAAAGAATTAAATATTACAAAAAATGATGCTGAAGAAGCTAAAAAAATCGCTCAACAAATGAAACAAGATCATGAAACACTTCACGAAAAATATTCAGAGCTAAAGTATGTAATGTATATTAAAAATATTTCATATAATTGTCTTGTATTTAATTAGAAAGTTACATAAATTTGAAGCAAATAAAAAGTACTGTATTAACAATCTTTTATCATTATAGGAAGGAAAAAGATGATTTGAATTTACAAGTTTCAGAATTAAAACAAAAATTAAGTGTTAAGAATAGTGAATTAATCAATTTACAGCAGACTTTACAAGAAAAAGCTGCTTTACTTTCATTAAATGAATTAAAAATACAACAGGTAATTTAATGTTTCACTTTCACTATGAACATAATTACAAACTTTTGATTAATGAAAACATTATTTTATACTAGCTCACAAGCACATCTCAAGATTTAGAGATGCTTGAAAATCAACATCATAACGTAACCATGCTTGAACAACAAGTAGCACAAATGAAAGAAGCTTTGAAAACAGTGAGCGAAGAAAATGATGAAGCAAGTAAACAATATCAAAACTATGTACGTCAATTAGAAACACAACAAGAAAGACTGGTTAATGAAGTATGTCACTGATAAATTATTTTTCTACATCTTTTTTTATATTATGTAATTATAAATTCTCTCTTATATATTTTCTGGTAATTATAGCTAGAACATCAGAAAAAATTAAACAACGAATTGGAAATTAGAGAAAAAAGTTATATAGATCGTTTATCAGATTTTGAACAACAATTACAATCTGAAAAAGAAAAAGTTCAAGAGTTAATTCCATTGCAAAATCACAAACATCATACAGATACTTTAATAAAGGAAATTGATGAACTTACATTAGAACAAGAGAGACTTCATATTATTATAAATGAAAAGGTAATGTACAAAATTATTATATACATATATATATATATATATATATATATATATATATATTTTATTTTTTATATTTTATTTTAATATTATGTTAATTTTTTTAGGAAACAGATATAGATATTTTAAAAAAAGAACTACAACAGTTACAAAATAAAGAGAATCAAAGTACAGATGTACCGAAACTGCTTCAGGCTCTTGAAAGTGAACAGCTTGGTGCATCTAGAGCTGTATCACAAAACCAACAGCTTAAACAACAGTTAAATGAGATGCATGATGCTTTTATTTTACTTGCAAGTATATTAGTATAAATAATTTAGTATGCATTATATATCAATTCATATTAATTTAAAAATATTATAGCTATAATCATAATTATTTAATATTTATAAATAGCATATAATCTGATTATCATATTCTTTTTTGAAATCACAACATACACACACAGAGCAATACTAAATTAGATTTAACAGAAAAACTACAATCAGAACGTACTATTGGGAGGAAGCTAAATGCAGAACTTAACAAATTAGAGTCAGAAGTAGAATATTTGAAAAATTCTTTAAAAGAGAAAGAAGAATCTTTGTCAGAATTGAAAAAAGAGAATTTACAGAATGCTCAAATTGCTGATCAAATACATCATTATCAAGCTCAATCGCAATATGCACATACATTACAGCAAGAACTTCAAAAAGCTTTGGTATTTAATTTTACTATTATTAATCATTTATTTTAATAATATGTGTATATATATATACTTATTATTATTTTATATAAATATATATTTATATAATTACAGAATACTATTGATGATTTAAAAAGTGAAAATGAAAAACTCACTGAAGAATTGAATCATAAAACGGACAAAGAAAAAAATGAAATAAATGAATCTAATGTGATTAATGAAATATCAGAAAATAATGACAGTGTTGATAATAATATCCTTAACATCAAAGAAATTAAAACTATATCACGCTCCACAATAACTGAGCCCTCTTATGCTTTAGAACCAATAAAGAAATTGGAAGAGAGATTTAAGGAAACAATGGAAAAACTTGCTGAGTTAACGGATGAAAAACAAAGACTGGAACATTTGGTTTTACAGCTTCAAAGTGAAACAGAGACAATAGGTATAATAATCATACTGTTTTAATTGAACCTATATATTATGTAAATTTATATCTCAAAAGAAAACTTTATAAAATGTGTATGACGAATATCCTATATAACATAACATATCTTTTTTGTATTTAACATACTTACAGTTTTGTCCTAGTAATTCTAATGTTCATATACAGGTGAATATATTGCATTGTATCAAAGACAACGTGCTATTTTGCAAGAAAGAGCAAAAGAAAAAAATGAAGCTTTTCGTTTACTTATAGAACAGAAAAACGAACAGCAAGAACAATTGCATAAGCTAAAAGAATTAGTAACAAATTTGATAACAAGAAAATCCACTATTACAGACAACATGGAGCTTTATACTTCTGATCATAAAGGTATGTTAACTAAAAAATAAAATTATAGTGTGTGTGTGTGTCAGAGATTAAATAGATTTTACTTTTTTTAGAAGAAAATAAAGATGTAATAACATCAGAAAATATCAAACAAAACAATAGTGTTGTATCAGAAATATCAGATGATGAAACAACATCTCAAATTCTTGATCTTTTAACAGAAATTAAAGATTGTAAAGATACATGCATAGTTGCATCAAATTTTCACCCATGCCCATGGTGTTCAGGGAAACTTATTACTGTATGATCATATAATTAAAGATATATCTTTTTAAAAAAAAATACATTACATATAATATAATAAACAATATATTAAGTGTATATAAAAATATTAATAATTTTTAAACTTACATATAAAAATAAATATAAAAATAGAATATGTCTAAAAACAATTCTTCTAACAACAAAATTTTGTTATTTTTTATTAAGCAAATCATGATATAATGAAGATTGTAGATATGAGATAAGTAATACATCATATTAGGATATTCAAGGTAAAATACAAAAATACAGAAAAATGGATAAATAATAATAAATTGTATTTTTTATATATTTTATTTTGAAATAGAAATAATACATATTATACCTTTAGAGCATATTTTCTTAAGGGATATGTCGACTGTTTTCGGATTTCTTTCAATGGTTTTCTGCTAATTTGAAAAGGT